GCCAGCACTCCAACCTTTATTGCCCAAAGATTTAGGGACCTACAGACAGCAGAGTGGACCTCAAGGACAGGGGTCCCTCGACTTGGCACACAACCCCCTCCCCATACACTCTGCCTTACATATCACTCACCCAACAGACCAACACCCTAAAGAAAATTTCATCTAAGTTTGGCTTTTGTATACCCTGTATATTGAATTACTCATGACTACTATTCTCAAAATACAGTTATGTTTGTATGTGTCCTTAGACAATCTTAGTGTTTTGTGTGCCACCCTTACAACCATGTTCACAGCATGTATGTTCTCATGGTTATACCAGAAGAAAAGTTGAATAGTCTCACCAGGTATCCTAGTGTGTCCTAACTTTCAGAGATTCCTCTTTCTTTGTTTAACAACCCCCCCCCCCCTTCTCTTCCAACATTCCTTTGTGGTCCTTATCTGATCTTAGTGGTCCGTTACCAAGCTTTCTGTGTTCTACCATGCTATATTAAAAGAACTGAATTATCCATTCTGGAGAAGATCAATTGGGATAAGCCACACCAAACAAAATATGTTGTTTCCAGATGTGCAGCTTATATAGTATAGAATAGAATAGAATAGAATAAACCTTTATTATCCCACGAATGAGAAATTTAGGTGTTACAGAGCTCTTATACAAAAGTAATGTAGAACAACAAGAGCAGATAGATATTACCACAAACTAACGGCCACACCTATCTAAGGCTATCCAGCAGGTGGCTGCCCTTCGCAGACAGCTTGTTCTACAAAGAGCAAGTTGATGGAGGCGTAAAAAGAATTTCCCCATGAGGGACAATAAAGGTTAAATTATTATTATTATTATTAAGATGTGCTGTTTTTAATGTGAATATGGGATGTAATGTCTGTGCAAAGTGTAACATCTGTTGAGGTGCAACCCAAAACACCTGTATCATATACTGATGTGAGTCAGTTACATACACAATATAAGTAATTGTTAATCAATTAATACAGGTGGTATGAGGTGCGAACCTGTGAAGCTGGTATGGCATGTTTGGTGTCAAACTGAAGGACAATCACTCCTGATTCCAAATCTGGACAGTGGTTATCATGAAAGTGGATGTATCAAAAGTTATACTAGCTTAATGAAAATCATCAGTAAAGGGAGAATCAGTCGGGCCATAAATCCCAAAAGTACTGATACAGACCCCCTTCCGAAAGCCCGCCAAATGGATGGCCAGCCATTGGGCCAGGAGTCGAATTCCTGGTCATCCCTATTTATGAACCTTAGACCATAAAAACCTGGCACCTCAGAACAAAGGAGAGCAGAAAAACCATCAACCTGCGGGCAGGAAGCCCATCAGCCGGAGCAAAGAAAAGCCCATCAGCCCAGGAGAAGAGAAGCCCACAAGAAGCCTGCCAGTGAAGGTCCAGCTGAACAGAGAACTGCAACCAAGACAAAGCTTCACCAGGAGAGGGAATCCAAGGGGCTCCACTCCACTGCTCCAAACGCCGCGCCTTCCTGAGTGCCATCATCCCATCATCCCATCAGCTCTGCAACCAACTGCCAAGACCCCCCCCACTCTTCAACCAAGTAAACCAACTTCCTTTCATTCTAACAACTTAAGCTGTTCTGTTAACCTGCTATAAGACTTTAGGGTCGTGTTTCCACAAACTGTGCTTGCTTTGCAGAACAGTATTTCCCTTTTAAAGTTATTCATTTAAATCCAGTCATTGCATTTCCATAATTACATTGTTTCTATTCCGTTATTTCGTGTTTGTTGTTTGTGTTAGGTGTAATATCTGTCTTATGTTAGTTGTAGTGTTAGTTAGGAATAAATGCATTTCTTTTACACAACTTCAGCCTCCGTTCATTGAGTGCTCACAATAGTCCCTGCCTCTGTGCGATCTGGCTACTTAGCTCTGAAACCTCAAACTCGCCTGAAATATCGCGAGACTCCCTCTCATCGGCCGTGAGGGGAGCTTCGCTACCAATCGTTTACATTACCTGGTGATGCAGCTCGCCGGACGAGCCTTCTAACCCGGGTTACTAAGCGATACTGGTAATTAGTGAATACCATTTAAGTCTCACATTAACATACTTACGGGGATAGCGCAATCGAGTTTGGAGGAGCCGACCATTCGGCATAATAATTGGTTAATAATCAGCATTAAATAATGATTAATTAAAATTAAATTAATTTAAAAACATATTGTTGGAGATATTAAAATTTACTTGAGCTAATTATTCCTACAGTAGCCATCACTCCGGTGCTATAGAACAAAGGTAAAAGCACCTCTAAAACAGTGCTTCAGCTAAACAAGTGTTTTTAGATGATGTGAGGGGGATATAGGGCCCTCGAAGGAACAAACAGGCACACTTAAGTCCTAACAGAAACACTTTATTAAAAGTAATACAAAATTAACCTTGCATTAAAGATCAATACCAAGATATTGGATCAAAGGCAATGCAAAATAATCTCATATCACAAGTGATATCCAATAGTATTATAGATCATAAACAATAATCAAACTGCCAATACAATTGATTATATGTATATATGAAAGTGATAAATAAAACATGCATACATAGAAAGTACAAATTGATATTATTGTTATTATAATTCTCATGCAATGATAATTAATCCCAATAATGATTGAATCAGTACACAGACACTGCAAAGCTATTCACACTCGGACGTGCCATCATCACCCACCTTCACTCTTAGACTGGGGAGCCCGTTTCAGTTCTGGCAGGAGACCAACACGTGAGTCCCGAGAAAGTGCCGGGCGATGCGCGCTCTATCCCACGGCTGAACTCCAACCAACACTGAGATCTCCCCTTTCCTTTATACTAATTTTGGGCATTACGTGCGAGCAGGGGACGAGCCGGCCAGGCTCACCCCTCCCCTCAGACAAGGCGTTCTCAAATTTCCAGTCTTGTCTGGGTAATGCGGCTTCCGGTTAAAATAATAAGACAAGTTCCCATGATCAACACGCTCACCTCTTCCCCTCTTCCTTTAGATAAGATCAGTATCCCACACACCGATTGCTAGATACGGTTTCAATCAAAAATAATTAGACAAATGTCCTTGATCGACTTGATAATACTCAGACGAACTAAGCTAGCATATACAGCGCAGGCTCCATCAGAAGGCCAAAGCAAAATACCAAGTTTGACACCAACAGAGAAAGAAAGAAGAAAAAATGAAACAACAAAGGAGGAAGTAATACTACGTCACAAACAAAACTGTCTAAGACACAGCGAGGTCCCTTTCAGTGGGTTTCAATAACATGGGGAGAGTCTTGATATAGGTCCGTGCCTCATCCACAGAGGACAGCCACTTTCTTGCTCCACTGGGCAGCAGCAGCAGAACCGGTCTCAGTCCCCTTTTGTAAAGGTCTGCCATGACGTCCTAATATTCCGCCCATTGTCTACAGTAAGTACTTCAGGGCTGTAGTCTTCTAAGACCCGAATTGACTGGCTGCAGAATTCAAGCTTTCCTCTACGCCGTGCCTCTCTGATGAGAAGCTCCTTAGTCTGGTATCGGTGAAGACGGAGAATGACTGGTCGTGGTCACTGCCCGGGGGCCAGCTTGGCACTAAGCGAACGATGAGCCCTATCGATTTTGGGGGGGGATGGCAGCGAGTCGTTCCCGAACACTTTGCACAACAAACTCGAGATAAAGTCCGTAGAGCGACCGCCTTCAATACATTTGGGTATGCCCAGGAGCCGTATGTTCTGACGTCTGCTTCGGCCCTCCAGGTCTGTAACTTTAGCCTTCAACCTATTGTTGCCATCGTGCAGGGTGCTACAGACGTTCTCCAGATCCAACATTTGCTGGCTAAGGTCTTCTGCGGCGAGTTCTAAAGAGGACAGTCGTTGACCGTGATCTTCCAATGTGAGGTATATTTGCTCTAATTTTGAGTCGGGCGTACTAAAAGATGCTCTGAATTCGGTGGTTAGCGCGTCCCGGTGTTGCTCGAGCAGTGCAGTGATAGCCTCAATCGTTAGGCCTGGGTCCTCTTCTTACTCGATTTAGCACTGTTGGATGCCATTTTAATGAATAAGGGCTGGATAGTCGAAAAAACGAAAAGTTTACCGGAGCACTCACACTCTACATCAGCATCTATGCGTCGATCGGAGGTCCTCATCACATGTTAATCATACAGAAAAACGGTTATTTTACATGTTTGTTCAACTTGCTGAACCTAGTCACTTATTTTGTGAAGCATACATCACATTTTAAAGTAAAAGGGATTACACTGTTTAAAAAGCAGAGATTTACCATGGAGAAGCAACAACATGATACATTCTGATAAAAACGATTCCTCCAGCATACAGTTAGCTATCCCAGCATGCACAGGAGTTAATAACACAAAACCCTGGATAGAGGGGCTCAGTGAATGAGGAGGTGAAGCTGTACAGGAGGGTCAGTCCATCAGAGGAGACTCTGTAGAAGGACAGAGCACCAGCCCCCCAGTCCAGATACACTCCTACTCTGCGGGAGTCTGAGGGCTTTATGGGTATGTCAGTCTCTTTATTATTGTGCCGGACAGAGTAACTGTCAGGAGAGCAGAACAGACTCCATGACTTGTCATTCCATCCAAGCCCACAGTGAACAATCTCTCCTTTCCTCCCGATTCCTTTATAAGTCACTCCTATGCGGGCTACATATCCACTCCACTCAGCCTCCCAGTAACAGTGACCAGTTAGACTCTCTCTGCACAGAACTGGGGACCAGCAGTCAAATCTCTCTGGATGATCAGGATATGGCTGCTTTGCCCCCCATGTCACCTTCCTGTTCCCCTCTGACAGAGACAGGCGGCTGTTTGCTGTGTTGGGGTCCAGCGTCAGCTGGCAGGAGTCTGTAGGCAAGAGGAAGAGCGATTAATCCCATCACAAAGCCCAGGATGTCCATTATTATCACTGTCACACCTCACACATGTTAAAACATGTTAAACATGAAATTGTACTCCATAGAGTACTACTAAACGTTTTACCACT